ACAGGGGAGATCTTTTTTTCCTATGGCATTAAATTAGCATTCAAGGTATAAATTTCATAACTTTTGAAAGAATCAAGTGTGTCTTCAAATCATAAATCCTGGAAATTAGTCCCATACTCTTTGTATTAATATTTGTAAGGAGAGGAAACACTCCTTTTCCAAGACAGAGCATTTATACTCGATGCTTTTAATTATATTTTATATCTGCTCAGATTTGAATGTTTGTGTACTCCCAAATTTATATGTTAAAATCATAATCCCCAAAGATGATGGCATGAAAAGGTGGAGTCTTTGGGAGGTGCTTAAGTCAAGAGGGTAGAGTTTTCACAAAGCAGATTACTGTTTTTATAAAATAGGTCCCAGAGAGACCTTCAGCTGCCTTCCACCAAGTGAAGTCACAGGAAGGTGCTGGTATGGACCAGGAGGAGGACCTTTGCCAGAGCTGGCCTGTGCTGAGGCTGTGATCTTGCACTTAGAACCTCAGAACTGTGAGAAATAAACTTGTGCTGCTTAGAAGTTCACTAGTTCATGGCATTTTGTTACAGGAGCCCAAACAGTTTTAAGATCTTATTGATACAAAATCTACATTTTCTGCATTATTTATTTTTTCCTTTAAAATGTTATGAGGTGGGGAAATGGTAAATATCTTTCTCTGGATATAAAAATTCTCAATGTATCAACTTTTCTCTATGTGGGGTAATGAATAACCAGATTTCCTACCATGTTGATCAAACTCAATGTTTACAAATTTATTTTTAAACATAGTAAGTCAAATATCACATAATTTTCTACACATAGACTCTACAACTTACAGTGAGATCACTCTTTTAAAGTTTGTTAAGATTTCTTTTTTGTGTGTTTTGACCAGCTCTCTAAAGTATTGGCTTATATTGAGCTTGTATTTTAAAGTTTGCAGGACATTTCCCCCCTCCTTCCAATTCTTAAGTCATGCTTTACTTACAATAATGAGGAATCCTTTGAGTATGTTCATTCCGGCATTTTTTTTTTAATTATTTTTTTAATAATTCTTTTTTTTTAATAAGGCATGTTTTATTTATTTATTTATTTGTTTGCTCGTTTGTTTTGTTTATACATGCACTGGGTACAGTCAGAAGCGCGGGAGGGTGAGAGAATTCACCAGAGCCAGAGCGGGGAGCAGAGCAGGCAGAAGGACCGAAGTACACTGCTGAGGGGAGCAGCGGGCGGCAGGAGAGGTCTGCGCGCCATGTGGGACCCTCCGCTGGTGGCCGGGGAGCAGCCGGGGATCGAACCAGTACTGTAGAGGCTGTGGGCAGCTTCGCAACCCAGCGCTCAACCGCTGTGCCACCGAGGAGGCCGTCATTCCGGCATTTGAATTTTGCTTTTTCTTTCTAAATTCCAGATATATTTGTTGAAATCAGTGTATAATTCTTGGCTACAATCCATGTCTCTGGATGTAGATTGAGAAGGCTGTGGGGGAGTAAGTTCCCTTTAATTTATTTTTCTCTATCATACTTAGATTGAGTTCTTTTTATTATTATTATTTTTTAAAGATCCATTTGTTTATTTATACAAGCACTGGGTACAGTCAGAAGTGCAGGAGGGTGAGAGAATTCACCAGAGCCAGAGCGGAGAACAGAACAGGTAGACTGACAAAATACACTGCTGAGGGGAGCAGTGGGCGCTGCAGAAGAGGTCTGCTGCACTCTGTGGGACCCTTGCTGGCGGCTGGGGATTGAACCGGTGCTGCAGAGGCTGCGCGCAGCTTCGCAGCTCAGTGCTCAACCATTGCGCCACCGGGGAGGCCCTAGATTGAGTTCTTAACATCTAAGTTTTGGATAGTCATTTTAAGGGAGAGTGGGGTGTTACTGGAGATATGAGTATTAAATGGAGATTTTGAATAGTTTTAGGCATTTCTTTTTGCAGATTGAATAGGTTATATGTTCATATTTATAAATGTTTTTCTAGATTATAGATAACTTAGGTAAATATAAATTTACTTAAAAACGACACTATTTATATCAAGATTTTCTTATAATTGTTTTGAACATTGGTTATAGAGGAGCCCTGAATTTTTGAGCAAAATATTAATAACCCTTTTGACTCTATCTGAAAATTTGTTTTTCATTAAATAGTAGCCACCCAATAGATAACTATGTCATATGCCATCAGAAGTCATGGGCTCCCTAGCGAGACATCAGGGAATCTTTAAAAAAGGCTCTTAATTTTAATATGTGTACAATTTTATTTTTTAAATGTGAAAACAAGGTCAAAATGTATATTGTAATTTGAAGTACTTATAAGAGAGGTGGTTGACTTTTTAGGTGCCTAAGGCCTGCAGAGCTCTTATTCTGGTCCTGCTTTACTTGGTATCTGGTCCTGCTTTACTTGGTATCTGCTTTACTTGGTATCCCTAACCCTAGGCATCCTACCCTTTGTCTCTTGGACCCATCTCTTCCTCCTTTATTACAAAAATTCTGAAGAATCTTCAGGTATCTCTATGAGATGACAATATTTTATTCCATGTTGAAATTGTGGTGTGAATCGCTTTTGAGGAATTTTTGTTGTAAATTTCTTCCAGTAATTCCACAAACTGAAATTTGATTCCTTGCCATTGACACTTAAATTATTTGTCATAGTGTTTGGCCGAATCAGTACTTAATAAAGCAACAGAATTGTGCAGAAAGACCATGATTTTGCATATTTTTTAGTAACTGTGAATTCTGAGTTCCAGTGCTAGATTCATTATCACCTAGGTGCAATATCCTGGAAAGTCTTGTTTTCTCTTTAGGCTTTGGTTTCCTCCTCTGTAAAATAAGTGGACTTTTTAGACTGCCCCTGAGATTATCATTTAACTTAGAATGGAATGATTCTGAGTCCATAGAGGAACACAGAATATGATTGCTTTATCTACTAAGTATTTATTTTCTGGAGTGTGTAGTTCCTATTTCAGATGAATGTACACTGCCTATAGTGGGTCAGGTATCACCAATTCCATTGTCAGGGCCCACAATTCACTAGGAGGTCTCAAAGGATTCAGAATATTGTTATATTCATGACTATGATGTATTACAGGATATGACACCAAGCAAAATCAGCAAAGGCAAAAGGCATGTGGGAGAAGTCCAGGGAAACCAGACAGTTTTCAGTTGCCCCTTCCTAATGGAGTCACACAGGATTTGCTTAATTCTTTCAGCGACTAATTATGACAACACACATGGAATATAATTTGTCAAGGAAAACTCATTAGTGACTCAGGGTCCAAGGTTTTTATTGTGGGCTAGTCACATAAGCATCCTCTATACCAAAGTTCTAAACTTCCAGAAGGAATGCAGGTGTGCAGTGTAAACGCATTGTACAATGTAGAAACACTGAGCCATCCTTATCAAGAATTGGTGGGAAATGTCCCCCAAATACAACTTTTCAGTGGCCAGCCAAGGACCAGTTCTTCCTAAGATTGAAATTTCAAGTTTGCTGCGTTATCTCTTTATTGCACATGAAATAAAATTCAAAATTTGCTTCTTGCCTTTTGATATTTCACTAACACAACAGGTCACAAGGATCACTGGAAAGAAATGGACTTTGAGGAATAACTAAGGTCCATACCTGCTTTGCTACTGACTTACTGAGGGACTATGATTAAGTTACTTAACCTATTGAAACATGTCTGCTTATTACTATTTAAACATACCTTCCTCATTAATGAATTTTAGATAGTAATGCAAGGTAGTTAGGGATTTTGTTGAAATATTTTTACAGATGCGCATGCAATGTAATGTCACTTGTCTCTGAATCTACTCATTCAACTCATGTCTGTTCTAAACAATATGCTAGGCTCTGGAGGTATAGTGCTGAACAAAAGATGTCTTGCTTCCTGGAGTTTGTATTCTAGTTGAGGATTAGAGGAATTTCTAATCTCACACGATGACATGCATCTTAGATGCAATTACAATTTGTGGTTAAGTGCCCTGAGAAAGCCAGAGAGCCTGAAAATACATAACAGATAACTGGCCTGTTCTAGTAGATCAGGGTCAGTCTCCCTAAGAAAATTACATGTGTATAAGAATGTCAAATTTGAACAGGTTCCTGTCAGGAGATCAGGAGGGACATTAGACAGTGGTCTTACATAGAAGCTTCTGGTGGGAGTGAACAGGCATCATTGAAAAATAATAAAATTATTAGAGATTAAGTAAAGGGGAGAGAGGAGGTGGATGAGATTGGAGAGGATAGAGTCAGTCAAGGACCAGACTAAGATAATGGAGCTTGGCTGCCATCCTAAAAATCATGGGAGGCCATTTCAGTATATTTGGCAATGGGGAGGGGTGAGAAGGAGGTTTCACATGGTTAGATATCTTAGTATTTTGAAAAGAATACCATATAGACATTTGTTTGAAATGGGTAATGTGCAATTCAGAGATCAGTGCAGAAGTCTTGGGGACTGCTGCTTATAATTTCAATTAGTATTATAACTTACTAGGAGATGGAGAGAAATGCATCTGTTTTTAAGTATTTGTTACCAATGCATCATAATTTATAAAAAACATTAGGATTAGTTTCAGGATTGATTTTTTTTTTTCTTTTTCTATGTTAGTGTCTTGATGCTTATAATATGCTTCCAGTCTTCATTGATGTTTGTAAAAATGCAGTGATGTTTTATAGAAGACAGTGAAGCTCATTGATTAGTTTAGTACTTAGGAGAGTGCCTTTACAGATAGAAATTTTGAGTACTTGATTAAGTCTCTCTCTTAGTGTTGGAATTTGCTGCAGAAGGCTTGTTTTTCCTTAAATACTTCTTTTTTACCATTAAAATGATTAATCATTTGATCGTTTATAATTAAGCAGTGATATAACTAATTTGAATTAACTTTTTCCAACAACTTTTTTGTTTAGCCTTATGTAAGTTAACTGATCTGTACATTCCTGTTTTTTAATGAAGTCTCTAATTGCTGTAGCAAGTTGTAAAGTTGGGGCTTTTAACTTCTTGGTAAACCATCTTACATCATTTCTTTCTGTCTCCCCAGATAAATTATTAGTCATAACAGTAGCAACAAAAGAAACTGATGGATTCTATCGATTTATGCAGTCAGCCAAATACTTCAATTACACTGTGAAGGTATGGTATGTCTTTTAATTCATATGTGAGAATGTGTGTCAATAGTACATTTTTCATGACATCAGCAACATAACAATCTCCATTGCACAAAATGAAGACAAAATTTGGTTCTGTACATTAATTTTATATATACTTGATTGCTTGATTTTATTTAATGTTTATTTTTTTGTGTAGAAAAACTGGGGTGCAGGCCAGAGGTATGGGGGTGAGAGGATTCACCAGAGACAGAGTGGAGAGCAGGAAAGGAGGATCTACTGAAATACATTGCTGAGGGGAGTAGCTGGTGAAACAGGAGAGGTCTGCTGTGCCATGTGTCTTAGCTCCCTGGCTGGGGGTCAAACTCAGTTCATAGCTGTGATAGCCCTAGGCCACCATACTTGATTGTTTTAAAGATGCTTTTAGGCTTTAGTAATACTCTGCCACTCATGTAATTTCTTTGTATTTGTTAATGCTTGTATAAACATGCTCTGCAAAATAAAAAAAAAAAGTTTATTTTTTCATATTTTGGGTCCACAATAGTCCATTAGCATCATCAGGGAAATAGAAATAAATATTTTCAGACTCCACCCCAAATCTGCTGTATCATCAGCCCTGGGAGTAAGATCCAGTAGTATGTGTTTTAACAAGCCCTCCATGTGATTTTCATGCACACTAAAGTTTGACATACTGATATGGTGGGACATAAACATAGAAAAGAGCTTAACACAGTACATGACACACAGTAGGCTCTGAGGTGTGGCGTGCCCAGTGTTATTGTAGTATCAAAGAAATCCAGAAAGATTGCAGACTGAAGTGTAAAAAGTCTCAGGGCCAGAGGAGGCCACTTTTTAGTACAAAAACTAATAATTATACTAGACTAGCCCCCGGTATGAATCCAGGTCCAGGTTGAGTTTGAGTTTTCTTGGCTAAAATTTCTCTCCAACTTTTGATATAGGAAGTGATGAGGTGATAACTAGAGATCTGAGTCTGAGATCCCATGAACCTTGCCAGCCAGGTTTATATTTGACTTAATATGACTAAATATATTTAGAAAATAAATATATAAATATATTTATCCTTTCCTTCTGTGTTTATTTTTAGTTTAATTCACTCTTAATGTTACAAACCTCTGAGTAAATTTTATTTGGGCAACTTCAGACTTTGTTATGAAGACACTTTGATACAAGGTACATGTGGTGTGGATAGGGGGTTGGGGGGGCATATGTTCCCTAATCCCTCATAGTCAAGGTATGTCTGTAATTTACTTCAGGAGCAATTTACTTCAAGAGGCAACTGCTGAGGCTAAGGCAAATAGTGAAAAGATAAGCTACAAAGTTGATTAGTTCTGCTTAGTTTATCATATTGACCAGATATTATTAAGCTTCTGAAAATAATGTAAATTCAAGATTTAGAAGGTAAAGAAGGCAATGTTTGACTTAATGCTCTGTGTTCCCTGACTCAACAAATTTTAAGTCAGTGTGAAAATCACGTATGGGCCCCAATTCAGAGTCTGAGCTTCATTTAGATTTCTTGCCAGATTGAAAACTGTTATGAAAATTGTCTTCATTTTCTTTTTCATTTTAGTCTGAACAAATAAAAGTAAAATATGAGAGATACTTGTGGTTCGCCTACCTGCACCTCCTTGGATTAGATTACTTTTGAAAGTGTGAAACTGGGGATGACATCTTATGGGGTGAATGACTTTGAAGAATTATTATTTTTTTGAGATTTATTTATTTATGCATGCAAGAACTGGGGGGTAAGCCAGAGGTGCAGGGGTTGAAAGGATTCACCAGAGAGAGTGGGGAGCAGAACAAGCAGATCTACTGAAATACTCTGCCAGAAGGCAGCAGTGAGCGAGCCAGGAGAGGTCTGCTGCACCATGTGGGTTGCAACCTGGCCTGGGATCCAAATCATGCTGCAGTGGCTAGCTATAGCTTGATAGCACCTTGGAGGCCCCTGACTTTGAAGAATTATTTCCTGACGTTGGCATGAAGTTTTTTTTCTGTGTAACATGTCTTAATTGGACATTTGAAGAGTAGTTACTGTGTAATACAGTGCAAGTTGCTAATGAAATGTGTTTTTTTTGCTATCATAATTTGAGTTTTACTCAGGGATGAAAGTTGATTTCCTTTTAGGTCCTTGGTCAAGGAGAAGAGTGGAGAGGTGGTGCTGGAATTAATAATATTGGAGGGGGCCAAAAAGTGAGATTAATGAAAGAAGTCATGGAGCATTATGCCAATCAAGAAGATTTGATTGTCTTGTTTACTGAATGGTAAGAAAAATAACCTGTGGATTTCTAAATCTATATTAAACATATTTTTAAAAAGATTTGAAGTTCATATTTATAGTTCATATATGTTTCATCATTTTATTCATCCAAATCATTGTTTTAATGGGTAAATATTACTCAGTTTTGAAACCATAGTCTGAGGTAGTTATGTATAGTTATCAAATTTGATAATTTATCATAAGCACTACTGAGAAAGTGGCATGAGACAACTTTTTTTTTTGAAACTTATATTTTAATCTTAACTTAGAGTTGAAATAAAAGCCATGTTCAGCTTTATTTATTTTTAATATTTATTTATTTATTTATACAAACACTGGGTACAGTCAGAAGTGCGGGAGGATGAGAGAATTCACCAGAGCCAGAGCAGGGAGCAGAACAGACAGACTGACGAAACACACTGCTGAGGGGAGCAGTGGGCGGCAGGAGAGGTCTGCACGCCATGTGGGACCCTCACCCAGTGGCTGGGGATTGAACCGGCGCTGCAGAGGTTGTGGGCAGTTTCGTAACCCAGCGCTCAACCGCTGCACCACCAGGGAGGCCCTGTTCAGCTTTATTTTTAAAAAGAATAACTCAATAGATTCTGGTCAGCCAGGAGGTAATGTATGTTAGACATAGATAGCTTATGCTATTAAGAAAAAGAAACCTTTTGAATGTATAAATATGTTTTTGTATATTACCTTTCTCTCCCTCCACATAATTTGGAGTGTCTGCTTATATTGCTTTAATAATGTCAAGTTTTGATGAGACATTAGTGATTGCTACCTTCCATTTTCTCTGCCTTTTAAGTTTTTTTTATTATTGGTTGCTCCCTTTAAATCTCTTTGCGTTTTTTTCCTCTTAGGAAAGTTTCCTTATCTTGCCCTCAATTTGAGAATCCAAAAATGAAATTATTTTAGATGAAAGTAAGAACCATGATTTTTATGCGAATGTCTAAATAAAAAAAAGGGCCTTGACATTTGCATTTTAAATGAGATGTGTTATGGATGGTGTTAGCTTATATACTGGGTCACTTTCTACAAAATCTATTATGATGTATTTTTTTACCCATGAAGAAAGAGTGAGAAGCTCATAATAACTATTTAGACTAAAGATCTAGTATGTTTTGGTTTAAAATTTCTGTGTATTTGAAACCATTTAGGTCAACTGGATCTTGCTACATGTGTATTTTAATTTTGATTCTGAAGGAAAATCTCCTTGTAAAAGTTACTGAATGTAGCTGTAATGCTTTTAGATTCTCAAGCTTCTTTTTAGGTTTTAGGAAGAACTCCTTTCCCTTTAACTATACCCTCCTATATCACTTCTCCTCCTTCCTCCCCCATATAAGATTTAGTCTTTGCGGTAACTAGTTTAATAAGGACTCTGGTCTCTTCCTGAGAGAAAAGTAAATTGTAAGATATCTAAAAACTGCTTGAGCTTGTATTTATTTAAGTGATGCTTTAAGACCAGATTGACAAAAGGGACAATAAAATTTTAATGGAAAACCCAGAGTATGCCAAGTAATGGTAGTATTGGGGAATATATCAAAATACAACAATCAAAAATTTGGACAAATCCTCTTAGGGAACAGTCAGTTAACTGAAAATATGGAGGCTCAACTCATCCAGGTCATTGTCAAAGAAGAGTCACTAACAATTTCCTCCATCATCACCTACCATGTTTGTGCTTCTGGAAAATCCCTCTGATGATGGTAAGGTAACCAAGGTAAAGAGAGATGAGCAATTGGTGCCATCTTAAAGCTTTTTCCCATCTTATTTTTAAAATAACATTCTTTAAAAATATTAGAGTGATCAAGAGATTTGAAAATCCTGAGTAAGTTCTGAGACAAATGAATTATATTATAAGCTATTTGAAATGAGATATTCAAAAGAAAATTATTACTATCCTAACTAAGTTTACCCCTGGGGTTTAGAATTCAGAATTTATTAATTTTAATAAATTGAACAAATTCCTCTTTCTTAAGTGACTTTAGCACAATATGAATCTAGTAGTTAGTTCTATCAAAACATAGGTCACTACTATATGAAACTATGTACAAATTTATGTACTTAGTGGTTTAGATAGGCCTTTAAAAATTAGCTTTATTGAGGTATAATTTACATACCATGACGGACACTAAAATTAAGTGTAAATTTTAACAAATTTTAGTAAAATTACAGAGTTGTGCAATTATCAACTCTACTTAAATATAGAACATTTTTAATATCCCAAAATGATTCCCTGTGCTTATTTGGATACATTTTTATAAATTGATTTAAAACAATTTCATAACATTGCTTCCTTGGCAATATGTGTTCTAAACTGACTTTTGGGTGAACATTTAAAGTTAGAGGCAGATGTATATAAATAGACTCTGAAGGGTAAGATATATCACTTAATTTAGATACTGGCAGAGATTTGTAGTCTCATCTCAAAAGTAAAGTTGAAGCTTTACATATAAAAAAATCACCAAATTTTTTTCAACTTATTTCAAACTGCAATGTGTGTGTGTTTTGTTGCAATCAAGATGGTTTGTAAAGCTGACAGTCTTCCTTTGATTAAAACAACTGCCAATAATTGTAAAGAATTTGGACTTTTAATGGACAAGGTACAATGAGTTTTTTTAAAATAGATTCATAAAGATTTTGGGGACAAATACTATAACTTGGTAACTGCATATTTCCTTACAGAGATAAATAACTGCAAATTATTTTTAAAATTCACCTTAGTCAAGGGTACAGAACATTTTGAAGTACTTTGCATTACTTTCAGAACTACCTTATGAATCTAATAACCTTTTAAAGCATGTATTTCTTTTACTCTAGTCAAGTTTAAAACAGATGATCAGAACTATTATATAGTTATCATTTTTAATAATATATAAAGTAATATGTAACAAAAATGGTTGTGTTATTCTGATTAAATTAAAAATATATGCAATATCCCTATAAACTTGTGCTGTGCTGGGTACAGTAAAATGTAAACCAGCAGGGTTCATAAACTAAAAAGAGCATATAGTGTAATACTTTCAGGTCTAAGATAAATATCTAATAAAAACTGTGGTTTATTTTATTATTTTGTCTTTTAGACTTAAGAATATCTTGTTTAGAAGAAAAGTAGTTAGGAATAAAGGCAGTACAATTATTTGAGTGTGAATTTGGAAGGAGCAGAAATCTACATTTTTTGGCACCTCTGAATGAAATGCCATTATCAGAATGTGGGTATATTACATTTTGAGAAAGTCCTACTGTATGAAATATTACTGGCCTCACCAAAAAGAATATTTCCACTATGAAAATATTTACCCAAGGATTATGGTATATAGAAATTTCCAAGTTTGTAAAGCATTTGTTTAAGGGTAACTATATGATTTTGATATAAGATAAAGGAATTAATTTTTAATTTATAGACTTTTGCTAATTAATGGTAGCACTGATGAAGACTGAACTTAAAAGACTGGTATGGTAGCCAATACTACTAAAGTTGATATAAAATTAAAATCAATATAAAGTGAAGCCAGTGTTTTAATAGTTTCTAGCTAACTCTAATCTGGCATATTAATTTAAAATGAATAAATGCTGGCTGAAAAATGAAGGGATAATACACAAATCTCTGCAGTCAGCATACATAAATAATTGCTTTGATTGTACAGTTGACCTTTAAACATTGTGGACATTAGCAATGCTGCCTCCCTATCCCCTAATCAAAAATCCTTGAGAAATTTATCCCCTCTGTATCCTTGGGTTCCACAGCCGTAGTTTCAACCCTCTGACATTTACAGTAGGTTGAATCTTTGGATGTGGACCCAAGGATAGAAAAAAATCCTTTGGTCAGTGGGTCCTTGAACCTCAATGGTCAAGGGTATGTGGCTAACTTCATTTATGCTCAGTTATAATTGTTTTCATGTTATAGAAAGTGAAGCTAAGGGTTGTACCTAATTTGCATAGTGTCAAGGCATAAAGCAAGGAATAAGTATATATTAGGTAACAAAGTAAATTGCATTAGTAGAAAGAAACAGATATTGCAAGAGGGAAAAATAAGGTGGATAATTTGAAACTATTTTTAAAGATTACTTTTCTTCCTTTAAAGAAATAAAACAACTAATAGAGTTTGGAAAGAACCCTGGATTTCTAAATCTCAAAGATTAAAATTATTTAAAAGGTTGAATTTTGATAGAATCCATGGAAACTATGCTTTGCTTCTGATTTTTCATGTCAGTCAATACTTGTTGCATTTAACTTCTAATTAAAAATTGTGCTAAAAAAGTGAGATTGGTAAGCTCATTTTTCACCTTGCAATCATACTATTTGGATTTTTGTAGCCAAAGCAATTTTAAATAGAAATATCTTCATGATCTTTGAAAAATTTTAAATAGGTTCAAAGAACCATTCTAAAGTATATAAACATTGAAATAGTTATTATGTGAAAATAATTTTTGCTTTCCCCTTATGCCTTGGAATAATTGCTTTTTGTTATAAAGGTAATGCATGCTGATAAAATATTAACATTTAATATTTTCATGCTATTGACTTCTGTTAATAGTTTGTCATAGGCTGTGTCATAGGCTCTATTCACTCTGCCCATCATTAGGGCTACAGAGACAGAAAACTTTCACTTCCCACAGGTGCACTAATAACTTTGAATATGTAGTACTACCTGCAGATTTACTGATTCAGCTTGGCCCAAGTCTCCAGTCTTTCAATTCTCTGACATAATAAACTCTTTTTCTTCCATCTCCAGACAGTGTGTTGTGGTTTCTGTGTAATATGCATCACAGTCTCTGTCTCAGAATGTTTTGCTATCATGGCTCCGTTACCCATAAAACTGGTCTTATTTCCTAATCTTTTATATTAAAGAAATTATGTAAAGTACTAGTAGTCTTGAGGAAAAATAACCTGGTTTCAAAAGAGGATTATTTTAGGGAGCAGAATTTTAACATGGCTATACTGATGAGCTCATTTGTATTGGTTATACTGATGAACTCATACTGATGAGATCATTTGTATTAATAAGACAAAAGGGATTGTATTTTTGTAAATACGATTTCATGAAGTCAGATTAATTCTGTTTTATAAAGAAATGGGAAAGTTTAAGGTTTGTATTAGAACAAATTTATTGTTTTAAAATTTATCTTAAAACATGTTTATATGGCTAAAAATAAAATTATTTTAAATGACAGCTTGGTACAAACTGAAAAGTGCGTTTTCCTTTCACCTCTTGCTTTTTCTTCATTCCTTTTTCTCTATTAACAATAATAGTAATTTTTGTATTTTGAGTGCTTATAATGTGCCATGGATTGTTCCCAGTTTTTAATTTTTTAAAAAACTTGATGAGATAAGTACTACATCACACATGTAAAAAAACTGAAGCATGAAGAGTTTCAGTAACTAACTTGTCTAAGGCTCCTCAGATAGCAAGTGGCATAATTAGGATTAGAAACCCATCTTGCAGACTTCAAACTGTAGGCCCTGAGTCACTTTATGTTGTCATGCTATTAACCATTTCTTGCCTGTTGATCCTGGAAGAAAGAAGAAACTATGTATCAAAATGTGTGTGTATTTGAATTTTAAGGTTCTTTTATTCCATTGAAATAAAAATAAAATATAAATCCTGTAGAAAATTCTAAAAGCAAAGGAAATATTCTATTTATCTGATCACAACTATATTTACTATTTTTTTTTAGAAAATTAGGTATAATTACTAAATTTATTTACACATTACCAACATTTTAATCCTTGTGTACAGGTCAAGCACTCTTGACTTGTAAAATTTGATTCATCATAAAGAGGGAAAAACAAGGGGATGCAGAGGGGAGGCTGCTTTCTTTGTAAAGCACGTTACCTGGAGATTATAGCACCAAACCAGGTCCACTCACACTTCACTGGACATGTGCCATATTTGGCTTCCCAGATATCTTTAGCAGGGTGGCCAGGTGCTCAGTTAATGTGATGAAGGGGATGCCGCTGCTAAAATAAAAGGCATTCTGATGTATGTGGGGGCCAGTTACCATCTCTGCCACAAACATAAGCTTAAACTATTGCTCATGTAATTTTTTAAAATGTTCTTTGAGTTTTTACTGTCATAAAGATGAGCAATAGTCTTTTGTTTTTATAAAATAATTCAAATGTAGGAAGTTATTAAATGTTGCCTGATGCATTCCTGCAATCTAGAGTGTTAAAAAGGTCCTTGAGACTCAGTGTGACAGGGAATGACCTCTATTCATTGCATCTGTTTTTTTGGCTATTAGACTGACCTGATTTTCATTTCGAGTACTAGTAATTTCTTCCTACTATTTGACACTGAGGATACTAAATCATGGAATTGTTTGTTCTCTTTGGCTTTGAGGTACAGTGTTGTAAGTGATACAAAAGAATTTGTGGTTGGAGAAAGAATAGAGAACTTAATGCTGAGTAGAAACACACTAGCTAGTGGCTTTTATACTATGTGTCAATTTATAGTATCATTCCCCCCTCCTTTCAAATTTACTGTGCTTTAACGAGATATGCTTCTTTATACTTTTAGGATTTCAGCCTAAATGGTAATTCGTATATGAATTCATATTGATGAGATTTAGTAGTTGAGCACATTTTGTCAAAGTTAATGAATTCTTCAGAAATTAAAATGGATAGGTACAATTTAAATTGAAATACTAGGGAGTTACAATGGCTACTCCTGCCAATGACTGTGTCTTCATTGCACGTTATTTAGCAATTTACTGAATTTCTAACAATTCATTAATGTTTTAGAATTTTGAGGAATAGTGGTTATTGAAAAGCATAATAATGCTAATACAAAAAAATCTTTTATATGGACTTCATTTGCCCATGTACTATAAACATGCATAATCTCATATAAGACATATAATTTGAGAGAAAAAAAATTTGATGTGCCCTGTAAATACTTGGTAAAAATATTGTATTGATTTCTAAACTCTGACATTTATTAGGAGCTTTTTCTTGTTTTATGCACCTAAATTCAGATTGTACTTTGAAACTTATCTTTTTCCTTGATGAAACAGCTTTGATGTCATATTTGCTGGTGGTCCAGAAGAAGTTCTAAAAAAGTTCCAAAAGGCAAACCACAAAGTAGTCTTTGCAGCAGATGGAATCCTATGGCCAGATAAAAGACTTGCAGACAAGTATCCCATTGTGCACATTGGGAAACGCTATCTGAATTCAGGAGGTGAGTAAGATACTGACAGAAAAGTTAATGCCAGTAATAATGAATTATAAATATTGATGAAACACCCTATTTGCATATTTCATATAACATGAAATTTACAATGACCCATATTTTATTACTACTGTAGAAAAATAATGTTTAAAGTCCATAGTGCATTTCTAGTTGGAAAACATTTTCCCATATATTATATCTTCTGAGGCTTCTAACAGCATTAGGCAGTATAATTGTTGTCATTTTCACTTTGTAACTGATAAAACCAGTGTTCTCCATTTATTTTAATTATTTTCATTTTAATTTGGGGGTTACATTTCTGCTCTTCCATATGTGCACATGTTCCACTCACCCTCTATTAAACCATACATGCCAGTACCCCATATACCTCTCTCCTTCTCCCTTCTGTTCTCTCTGGTAAGCATTAATTTTTTTTTTCATTGAGTTAAAGATTTATTCCTACCGTATTTTGCCTGTATATATTTTTGGTTATCTATATTCCACAGATAACCATCTGATATCTTTCGTTTTTTGACTTACTTCAAAATTACCACCTCAAGGTCCAGCCATTTTGTTCCAAATGCCACTATTTCATCTTTTTTCACCGTGGGGAAGTATCCCATTGAGTATGTATTCCACGTTTCTCTAGCCAGCCATCTGTCAAAGGGCACTTATGTTGGTTCCATGACTTGAAGATTGTGGACATTGCTGGTATGCACATCAGCTAGATAAATATTTTCATATTAGAGGTTTCATATTATTTGGATAAATATCTGATGAAGGTATTTCTGGGTCATATAGAATTTCCATCAATATTTTAAGAAATTTCCATACTGTTTTCCACAGGGGCTGTACTAACTTGCATGGCCACCAGTAGTGGAAAAGAGCTCCTTTCTTATTTAATTATGTATTAATTCTCTAATTCCTTTGCCCATTTTTTTTTTCATTGGGTTGTTTTTGTTTTTGTTGTTGTTGTTGTATTGGATAAGGACTTTAGTTTCTTGTCAGATGTGTGATGTGCAAATATTTTTTTTCCCATTCTGTGGATTGCCTTTTGTATTTGTGATGGTTTTTATTTGAGGAAGAAAAGCCTTTTTAGGTGCCATTTCTGCGGTCACTGAACTGGTCTACAGCCCGCGTCCTGGACCTGAGGGCTTTGGAACTGACACCCGGGGCACGAAATTCGGGGCATGGGATCCCCACGACAGTGGGGCACAAGGCAGACACAGCACCCCAAAGCCGTTGAGGCTTTCCCCACCACTCCTACTCTGTTCCCCTGCCCCACAGGGTAAAAATAACAGCTCCCCAAGGAAACTAGGAGAGCTCTCTGGCGCCACCTAGTGACCAGAAAAAAATCACCAGCATCCCATAGAATAGGGACCTTTCTTCAGTAAAGACTGCTTGAAACCCGCAAAAGGCTCCCAGAGGAGTCAGAGGTGAGCTGGGAAGTTCGCCCAAGCCAGGCCCCTTCTGACCAGCAGTCCGAGCCCAGAGGGGGATCAGACACCCACGGCCGGGCAGATCCAGCGTGCGGGAAAGTGTGCCTGTCTCAAAATGCCATTTTAGAATAGGGACCTTTCTTTGATAAAGACTGCTTGAAACCAGCAGAAGGGTCCCGGAGGAGCCAGAGGTGAGCTGGGAAGTTTGCCCATGCCAGGCCCCTTCAGGCCAGCAGTCCAAACCCAAAGCGGGAGCGGGCACCCATGGCTGGGGCAGACCGTGCATGTGGAAGAATGTGCCTGTCTCCAAAGCGCCATTTAGAACAGGGACCTTTCTTCAATGAAGACTGCTTGAATTTGGCAGAAGGCTCCCCGTGGAGCCAGAGGGAGAAGGTTCCCTGCACAGTCAGAGGTGAGCTGAAGGCCCCCACAAGCCCGGTCCCACCTGGCAGGAAGTCTGAGCCCAGAGGAGGATGCAAAGATTTGGAACCTAGAGTGCAATCCAGCTGCCCCACCTCCAGGGAAGTCTTTGGGACTTCAAGACGCACCTTTGTAACTAAACACAGAAGGAGGAGAGATTCTGTGACAGTGACCATTAACATAAAGTACCAGGCCTCCCGGTGGCGCAGCGGTTGAGCGCTGGGTTGCGAAGCTGCCCGCAGCCTCTGCAGCGCCAGTTCAATTCCTGGCTGCTCCCCGGCCACCTGAGGAGGGTCCCACATGGTGCACAGATCTCTCCTGCCGCCCGCTGCTCCCCTTAGCAGTGTACTTCGGTCCTTCTGCCTGCTCTGCTCCCCGCTCTGGCTCTGGTGAATTCTCTCACCCTCCCGCGCTTCTGACTGTACCCAGTGCTTGTATAAATAAATAAATCTTAAAATAAATAAATAAATAAATAAAATAAAATATAAAAAAAAAATACTCAAAGTACCACTGCCTCACTAGACTTTTGGCATAACAGTTTTTGACTCGTTTGGATTGCCAGTTTCTGAAACTCCCGAAAGAACACACCAAAAATATGTCAGCCAGTACCAGCGGCACAGTGTGCCAAGGAATAAGGCAAATTAGAAGACAGGCAGCAGGGAAAAGAAAAACTACAGGCAAGGTAGCAACGCCTCAGAAAAAAGACACACCACAAAAAGAAAACCACCCACCAACTTGTAACTACGGTGACTTGGAAGTACTTCTGAGCCTTCCAAAAAAAGAATTTAAAATTGCCATGATGAAAAAACTGATGGAAGTCATTAAGGAAAACAATGCTTAAGAGAAAGACATACAAGCAATCCAAATAGGAAAAGAAGAAGCCAAACTATCACTATTTGAGATGATATGATAATACCCATAGAGAACCCGAAAAACTCCACAGAAAAACTTATTCAACTAATCAATCAGTTCAATAAAGTGGCAGGGTACAAAATCAATGCGCAAAAGTCAGTAGCCTTCCTATACACAAAGAATAAATCTGAAGAAGAAGAAATAAAAAAAAGGCCCTTTAATTATTGAAACAAAAAAAAAAAAAAAACAAATACTTGGGAATAAATCTAACAAAAGAGGTAAAGGACCTATACAAAGAAAACTATAAAACACTGTTAAAAGAAATAGAAGAAGACACAAGGAAATGGAAAGACATCCCCTGCCATTAAAATGGCCATTCTACCAAAAGCAATATACAGATTCAGTGCTATTCCAATAAAAATTTCAATGTCATTCTTCAAAGAAATAGAACAATTATTGATGAAATTCATATGCAATCACCAAAAATCCCGAATAGCCAAAGTGCTCCTGAAAAAAAAAAAAAAAAAAAGAAGAGAATGGAGGCATCACACTCCCAGACTTCAAACTATACTACAAAGCCATAATCATCAAAACTGCATGGTGTTGGAACAAGAACAGACTCACAGACCAGTGGAATCAAATAGAAAATCCAGAAATAAACCCACAGATTTATGGTCAACTAATCTTTGACAAAGGAGCAAAGAATATGCATTGGATCAAAGAAAGTTTGTTCAATAAATGGTGCTGGGAAAACTGGGTCGCTCCATGCAAAAGAATGAAGCTTGACTACTACCTAATGCCATGCACAAAAACCAACTCAAAATGGATTAAAGAACTAGACATAAGACCTGAAACCATAAAATACATAGAAGGAAATATAGGTGAAACACTAAATGATATGCACATCAAAGACATCCTTACAGACACATCACCCAAAGCAGTGATGGTGAAGGCAAAGATAAACAGCTGGGACTATATCAAATTAAAGAGCTTCTGTGCAGCAAAAGAGACAATAACAAAAACAAAGAGAAACCGCACCAACTGGGAGAATATTTTTGCACACAACACTTTCAGCTCTTCACCATTGAGTATGATGTTGACTGTGGGTTTGCCATAGCTTTTTTTATAAAGAATAGATAACTTCTTCTTTAATCTTGTTGAATATTTTTGGGTATCTGTTGAGATGATTTTTTTTTTATATTTCATTTTTTTGACCTGATGAATGACATTAATTGATTTGGGTATGTTGACCCAGCCTTGCATCTCTTGGATGAAGCCGACTTGAATATGGAGGATAATTCTCTTGATATGTTACTGTTTTTGGTTTGATAGAATTTTGTTGAGGATCTTTGCATCTATGTCCATCACATATATTAGTCTGTAACTTTCTTTTTTTTTTGTACCATCTTTGTTTGGTTTCATGATCAGGGTAATGTTTGTCTCATAGAATATATTAGGGAGTTAGATATTTTTTCAAGATTTGGGAGAATTCAATGGAGGGGCCATATGGTCCTGGACATTTGTTCTTAGGAAACTTTGTATTACTCTCTGTTTCAAAAATTTTAATTGGACTGGTTAAGCTGTCTGTTTCATCCTGATTCAATCCTAGAAGACTGTATGAGCCTAAAAATTTGTCTGTTTCTTCTAGGTTGTCCAGTTTGTTTGCATAGAAACTTTTGTAACGGATTATTAGGTTTCTAAGGTTTTCTGTAATATCTATTGGAAATTCACTGTTTTGATCATCAGGCTCAAACTGTGAGACTAAGTTGTGCCTGGCAGAGAAGCGGCACTGCACCAGGTATAGCGGTCAGCATGTGCCATCTTGTAGTTATTACACCAAGAATTGTTGTTGCCACCTTATCCCTACCTCTGCTACTGCTTCTGCAGCACTGTGATATCCATATACCATCTCTTTTATTTCTGTAGCCTGGTGTCTCTTTCATCTCTTCTGGGAGGAGTGTGGAGAGGGAGCTTTTGGTGCCCAGATGGATCATAGCATTCCCAATTTCCAAGATCTGTGCCTGCAGAATTCCCATTCCCCTAAATTGGGTCTCTGCTTACATGCCTGTCAGCATAGTTTCTCCATTGAATTTCACAATATGCTGGGTTGCCTTGTTGTGGCTCATGTGGTCTATCCCAGCCTGTTCTCCTGGCTGGGGTAGCTACTATCTTTGTTACTTTCTCCCATCCCTTCCCCTTTGCTGCCACCAGCCTTATTTGGGGAAGTCCTTATTCTTTGGGAAAGTCCTGAGACTCTATGACTGACAGAATGTCTGACTTTTCCTAATTATTGTTCTTTATAGGAAAGAGAGTGATTCCAGCAGACTCCCTATTCTGCCATCTTGTAGGTAGTGTCTGTTCTCCAAATTTAAGTGTCACCTAAAGACAGTCAGTTGTTAAAGAAAAAGAGTGTGGATTAAGTTGTTCTTATTTTAGTTTCACTGAGAATTTTCTGGCTCTAAGATAATGAGTTTAGCAAATTCCCTTACATTGGAATTTTATTCTTAGTTTGTAATTATGTAGCTTTAAGAATAGATATAACTGAACTTTACTGATATTTTTAATATATTGATGAAAGTGAATGATTTATCTTGAAATCGCTAGTCAAAAATGTCTGGCATTGAGTATATAGGTACACTTAAAGTCCAGCATTAACTCTTATAGCAAGGATTAAAGGAATACAAAATCATATTTACCCTTTCCTCCCAATAGAAATAAAATTTGATTTAGAACTTTATTATCTCTTTGACTTTCCTTAGATTAAGATTAATGTAAAGATAGCGGGCATGAAATAAATACAAGTCAGGTGACATCGCAACCACATAGGTAAGAGAGATTTTGGGGATGCTTGGTATTTTCATAAATCATATTACTCAGGCTTGTTTAAATAAGTGCTGCTTGTGGTCTCATGATACCTGGATTTCAGTAAACTTAGCCACTTGTAACAATGAAACCTTTAATAAGCAATTTACTTTCTCTGAGCTGTCCTCATTACAACTTTGTTGCACTGCACATTATTTTATCATAGTTGTACTTTGGAGCTTTGTCAGTCGATTTAAATATTCATCTCTGAAAGCTCAAATTCCAATTTGCACTGCCTAGTTTTACCTGTCCTTTTTTAAAAATTTTTTAAATATATATTTTGAATGATTTATTTATTTATTTATACAAGCACTGGGTACAGTCAGAAGCTTGGGAGGGTGAGAGAATTCACCAGGATCAGAGCGGAGAGCAGAGCAGGCAGACTGATGAAGTACACTGCTGAGGGGAGCAGCGGGCAGCAGGAGAGGTCTGTGCACCATGTGGGATCCTCACCCAGTGGCCGGTAATTGAACCAGCGCTGTAGAGTCTGTGGGCAGCTTCGCAACCCAGTGCTCAACCACTGCGCCACTGGGGAGGCCCTACCTGTCCTTTTCTATCTCAGAACACCTATAGGTTATGGTTTTGGAGATCTCTAACATTTTATTATCTCCTGATATATCTACTTTATTTTACCTTCATATTCATCTTTGAATTTTACTTTTATATTCAACTCAGAACTTAGGTCTTATCATATTGGTTACTCTAGCCTCATTCCCTTAACAATCTTTCCTTCCTAGACTTATAGTCTGTTAAAGCCTGAGATTTGAATGGCTTACCCTCTCAACTCTCACTCTGGATTTTTTTACCAGAGCATTTGGACTGTAGATTAGTGTCTCTCCAAACTGTTAGGACCTCAGTAATAAATCATTTAATCTATCCTCAGGACTAGAAAGTTTAAAATCTATTTAGATATGGAACTCTGGGATTTAAAATAATATTTATATTAATTTTTACAAATATGCCAAACATAGTAAAATATATGAATATTTAGATAGTGATATGTGTACTCAGGAATCCAAATATCAGACATATGTACAGTACTGTGGAAAAGGTGTTTTATAAATGGGGAAGGGATCATATAAGAACATAAAAACATCACCCTTACTATATTTCTGTCATCAAAGTTATTAAAAAAATGTTAGAAATTCTGGATAGGTTTATTTCAAGTTTATATAACATTTTATCATGAAGAGCAAATATGTTATAAGGAAAAATTAGGAAATTGGAAACCATTGGCTTAAAATAATATGCAAATATAAGTGAAAATATAAATCATATAAAATATATTAATGTATTGAACATAGATACCTGTGAATAATATACAGCAGTGTAACCAATGTTGCCTCAATTAAAAAAAAAAGTAAAAAAAAAAAAAATAGGGCCTCCCTGGTGGCGCAAGGGGTTAAGACTCAACGTATGAAGCTGTCCGCAGCAGCTGCAGCATGAGTTTGATCTCCAGACAGGGAGCAATGCACATGATGTAACAAACCTCTCCTGACTCACCCGCTGCCTCCCCTAAGCAGTATATTTCCATTGATCTGCCTGTTCTGTTCCCCACTCTGTCTCTGGTGAATTCTGTCACCCCCACACCTCTGTCCTGTACCCCTGTTCTTGTATGTATAAATAAATAAATCTTTAAAAAAATTCCACATTTAAAAATTAAAAAAATGAGAATCAAGGAATAAAGTTATCTTTAAAAGAAGTTACTATTGCAATTTAAGTGATGTGTAAATTAAATATAATGTATGTCTATATCACATGCAATGAAAATAGACTTAATTCCTTTCATTTTTGGATTGTTTATAATTCATAAAATGGATAAGGAAATAACTTTTGAAAAACAATGATACAAAAGTTTGGTTTATAAAATGTTACATGCCACTCATTGAATATGTATTTCATCACAAAACATTGGTCATAGGGATTTAAAAAAAATTTTTTTTGGCGTTTCAACTTTTTTTTTAATTTGGAAAGAATAATAAAAAATGAGCAACCAGTGTTTGGTCTAGCCATGTTTTCATTTTGTCTTGTTTTTTCTAAAGAAATATCTCTGTAACTATTTCTTTTTATTCTTTTATTTCTTTTAGGAAATTTTATGTTTGAAGGTAAAATTGAGGCTTTTTTTAATTCACAAGAATAAAATTGGTTCAATGAAATTAACAAGTTGGCTACATTTATGAAATTTGGAGGAAGATTTAAACGAGGGAAAAATGATCCCGTTGTCTGTGTCTTTTATAGACAACTGTGTTGGCAAATTTAATGAGTATGCTCTAAGACTAAGGGGAACAATCCAACTTTAGACTTCCTTACCCCAGACTATGACAAACAGAACCTAGCCAGAAAATGGTTTAATAGGCATGGTAATGACTAGCTCAAGGAAAGGAAAAATTCCCAAAGTGTTCTAGATATAAATTTCTTTGGGATGTTTTCTGTCAGTGACAAATCCGACATTCCTTTGATTACATAAATGTCTCTGGCACTCTCGTAAATCTCTGTAGTAGATCTTTTTTTAAAAAACTATGACTCCTGCAAAGGATCCAAGAAGAGCATGGTTTCAGAGAACATTCTACTGCTTTAGTAATTCTCTTTCTGTAGGAACCTTGGAAAATATTAGTTCTCCTACTTGTAGAAATTGATTTTGGGCATGTGTTTATTCAAAAAGAGTCTTTGATTTGCAATCAGTAGCAAAACTTACTCTGTTATAGTTTTTGTATAAAAGGCCCATAATAACTCACTTTTTTCCGTGGTGTGAAATTCCAAATTAAGGATTAGATATAAGGGCTTTATAACTCTGTGTAGTCAGTGCAATTAAAATATAGGAGTTTTGGTCTTGAATACTAAAATCTTTCTTCTTTCTCTTATAATACAGGGTTTATTGGTTATGCTCCATATATCAACCGTATAGTCCAACAGTGGAATCTCCAGGATAATGATGATGATCAGCTATTTTACACTAAAATTTACATTGATCCACTGAAGAGGGTATGTAATAGTTCCCATTTTTGATGTACCATTCTTGTTCAAGATGGTTCCTTGCACTCCATCCACTGTGTCCTTATTCTAGGCATTTATAGGCAGAAGAATAAGGAAGGAGCCCTCAGTTGTGTCAACTCTTTTTAATTAGTTTCTTTACAAGTCTCTCAAAACACTATCTCATACTTTCTTTTGAGTAGAACCTTGTAATGTGGCCACACATAATGTGCAAAGAAATATTGTCTTTTATTTTAAGCACATGTGTCCTAAAAATTTGAGTTCTGTTTTTTTTATAGGAAACATGTTTGGGACAATAACAGTTCAAAGACCCTAGATTGAATATTCCTGAAATTGATTTAAGAGAACTTTGGCAAAAATGAGACTGAATGTATATAATTTGATAATATTTTAAATATATTAACCTAATAGGTTCATGTTTCATAATTTACTATATGGCAGATACAGCTCTAAAATTTATTGGATTATGTATTTATGGTGCTGTCTTTAGGAAACAAGGTTTTTTAAATTATGATTTACAATGAGTTTGCAGCTAAAGTTGTTTCTCTTTCTTACATAAATATACTTGAATCATATGAATATTTTCATTAGATACCTAGTATTGAAGAATCTTCATTCCTAAAATGTTTATTTTTCTTCATCTCCATGTTTTACTTTCTCTTTTGTGTGTTTGACATGGCAAGCATGAGGATGTGGTCTCTCCTCCGGGACCAGAAACTATTCTTGGCCTGAGCATTAGCCCACGTTGCTCGATGTTGGTCTTTTCTTAGTGAAATTCAACTGTGGAAGTACTCTGAGTCTTATTTAGCTGTCTTTGCTTTGGGATGCTTCCTTTGTAAACTCACTGCTGGCTTTGCAATATATTTAGTTATATAAGTGCTGTTTAAATTTCTCTCTGCACATAAGATTTTATCTGGTTAGCACGTGTCTTACACTGTTTGTCCAGACATAACAAAATATCATAGATTAAGGGGCTTAAACAACAGAAATTTATTTCTCAGAGATCTGGAAGCTAAGGTCAGGGTGCCAACTGTCTTTCTGGCCTATAGACAGCAGCCCCCTGCTGTCTTCTCACCTGGGTTTGGGGAAGCAGAGCATGGAGATGACAGCAAAAGTAGGGGAGGAGAGGGAGAGAGGAGAGAGCAAACAAATGAACTCCCTGGTGTTGCTTCTTACAAGGATACTCATCCCATCATGAGGGTCTGGACTCTAACTACCATAATTTAACCTAATTAGTGTCCAAAGGTTCTATCTCTAAATACTATCCTATTCATGTTGAGAGTTTCAAGATATGAATTTGGAGTGGGAGGCATCAAGAAAGATATATTTCTTCTGCCACTTGTTCATAATAGATTATCAAAGGGTTTCTGTTTATTGTAGTAACTTAGGGATACTGTGGGTTTATGTGCCAGAGGGAAAGATCACTTAGGGTCTTGAATTGGCAATTAATATGCTTCAGGTTAGAAGTAATTCATTTCACCTCTGCTAACATGTCATTGGTCATACTAGTCTTATGGTGGAGGAGTGGACATATTCGGAAAAGGAGCATGTGTGCTCACCATACCTTTCATCCTCTAATTTAATCAACTGTAAGATTATAGTCCTTCTGTCCTTCTGAAGAATATTGCTGGAATATTTTCATATGGGATCTTTATGTGCACTCAAAGCTCAAAGTGTATAAACATGAGAGTTTGGTTTCCATTGTTGTTGTTATCTTTCAATAATATCTCTATTCTCATTTTTAGGAAGCTATTAATATTACTTTGGATCACAAATGCAAAATTTTCCAAACCTTAAATGGAGCTGTAGGTATGCTTCTTAAATACTGAATTACTCATGTCTACCAGTGAACACCTGTGTTTTCAACTGTCTTTCCTTTGTTAACTCCATTTTGGGCTGTGACTAAAATTTACTATGTAGATGTTGCAACATCTAAAAATAATAGACATGAGGTTAGCTTGACATAGTTAAATACATTCAGTTAACATCATTCCTAAGACTAGTGCAGGAAAGATAAATTTCTGGTCTTACTAATTAAGATTTAGTGACTCACAATCTAGAGACTGTACACATTTTTCAATGTGCAACTTTGTGTTGTGTATTACCCAGGAGTATTGTAGTATGTTAATCTACCTGGAAGGTAACTGGCAGTAATATGCTGTGTTTTTTTTTTTGGTGTGTGTGTATCTCTGCTTGCATAAGTTCATAACCTTTTGTGTTTTCCTATACAGACACACATTGTGATAAATATCCATAAATACATTAAAATTTATTAATAAATACATTAAGATTAAATAAGGGACTACATCTGAGAGGAGAAAGCATGATTGTACAAAAAGGAAGAATTATGTAATAATAAATACATATAAAAATATAAAGATATATATAATATAAAGATATATATATATAATATAAAGAAAAAAGAAAAAAAGCAATAACCCATCAAGGCATTAATACTTTAAAAGTTAAATATACATTGCAATTCAGTACAATTCTTCAAGTCAATTCAGACGGCAAAAGGTTTCAGGATGAAAAGCTTTTAGTTTAGAGTGCTCAGGAATTATGAGAAAAACAACCTGAAAACAAAAACAAGCATTTTCTGTTCCCATTTGACTTGTCAATTCCTGGAATTTGCATTTGTCCTTATTTTCAAGAACTAGAAATAAATATCAAAGGTGGCCAATTACAGAAACCTTGCTTATGTCTGGCAGTGTCTATACATGGGCCCCATTTTACAGATGAACAAGTTAAGTTAATAAAGGCAATTGTCTAGGATCACATCTCTATCAAGAGGCAAAGACAGAAATGCAAAGATGCTTTCCTTCTGCCACCTACCCTGGTGGCATCGCACTTTACTTGGTAGCTGGTGCAGGTCGTAGTAAGTGAGATTGTTCAGAAAATATATTTATGTGGTCCTACATTTTGGATATCTGCTGACTTGGAGTAAGCTGAATTCCTGAAAATGTTGTAGCACATGGAGTAGTAGGCGTGAGATTTTTATAACAAGATATACACACACACACACACATTTTAGATTGCTAAAACCTGTTTTTCTATTTTCCTTTTTAACCCAGATGAAGTTGTTTTGAAATTTGAAAATGGCAAAGCCAGGGCTAAAAATGTATTTTATGAAACATTACCAGTGGCAATTAATGGAAATGGACCCACCAAGGTGAGTCATAATGACTTTTCCCTATTTCCTTATTTTTTGGAGGTAGACTTGGAACAATATATAAAATGGTGGCATCTCCTTTACTTCCTCCCCCCCACCCCACCCCCTCTTCTTTCCTTTCTTTTTTTTTCCCTCCTCTTTCTCCTTTAAATATATTAAAGAGGTTTTATTGGTGCCAATAACTTACTGACTTCATCTTTTACATGGTATAATACTAGGTTTCATTCATATGAATCATACTGATGAATTTTTGCATCAGAGCTATAACCTTTCATTCTGTTTGTAGCACAGAATGTTGAGTTTTTTTTTTTTAAAGATTTATTTATTTATTTATACAAGCACTGGGTACAGTCAGAAGTGCGGGAGGGTGAGAGAATTCACCAGAGCCAGAGTGGGGAACAGAACAGTCAGGCTGACGAAGAAATACACTGCTGAAGGGAGCAGCGGATGGCAGGAGGGGTCTGTGTGCCATGTGGGACCCTCTCCCAGTGACCGGGGATCAAACCGGTGCTGCAGAGGCTGCAGGCAGCTTTGCAACCCAGCGCTCAACCGCTGCGCCACCAGGGAGGCCCAGAAAGTTGAGTTTTTAATAACAGCTAATTTGAGAGTGAACCACATTTCCCACACTACCTGTGTGATAAACACCCCCAGTGTACCCTTTCTCAATAGGAATTGTTGAGATTTTAGAGAAGAATGATTCATTTGAGTAGCCATAATGTAAGTTAATTCAGTTAAGATTGAGGTATAACTGTGCAACCAGAAAGCTTTCTCTGGCACTTATTTATTTTTTTTAAAGATTCATTTATCTATATAAGACAAGGCTACAGACCAGATGTGTGGGAGGGTAAGAGGATTCACCAGAGACAGAGGGGGGAACAGACCAGGCAGACTGATGAAATACACTGCTGAGGGGAGCAGTGGGTGAGAAAAAGAAGTCTGCTGCACCTGGCACTTATTTTATACTACGTTTGATGAATTTCAGTTGATGAAGACTTAATTTGATGGGTAGAATTTTAGGTGCTTGCCTGTTTCAAGTATATATGTGTGTGTGTGTGTGTGTGTGTGTGTGTGTATACACATATATATACATATATATATGTATATATATGTGTGTACACATATATATACATATATATGTATATATATGTGTGTACACATATATATACATATATATGTATATATATATGTGTGTATATATGTGTGTGTATATACACACACACACACATATATATATACACACACAATTGAGCTTGATTAAAATGTTATTGACTACAAAATTTAAAGACAAGTTTGAATTGCTGGTATCCAGCTGAAATGGCACATGGTATACACAAAAACACTTTTAGTAATAATGTGCTTAAAATAATATTTTTAGATACTAAGAGGTCTGTTTACTGATCAGTAGCTGGACAAGAAATATATATGTAATTGCATTGAGTAAGATGAGTACAAGTTATTGTTTGGCTGCTACAGAGGAATGAATAGCTTATATGCATGGGAAGAAATTCAAGGAAATGCCCACATTGCAGCTACTCTGCTATAAAAATGGAAGAAGTAGATTTTCCTGTCTTGTAATCACTCCATCTTGCATTTCTTCCCATTCTAGCCCCCTACACGACAGTCTGTCCCTGTGCTCTCCTTTTTCTGTATTTTCAATTTTCCAGACTCTGTTCTCTCCTCTTTAGTATTTTAAGGACCAAGTCTTTCCTGCCTTATAAGCAAAACAAAACTAAGCCAACACAAACTAAAACATCCTCCTCAATCCATACTTGTCCCCAGCCTGCCTTGTCTTTTCTAACTCCTTCTTAGCCAGATTTCTTAAAGTAGAGACAATTCACTGCTACCGCTATTCTTCTACTGTAACTCTTCTGCACTCATTTTGACCTCACCCAAAGATAACATTTGCTACTGCTGACCCCATTGGCCCTACTTGAAATACTCTTTCACTTCAAAGTTTTCATGGTGCTCTGTTGGTTTGCCCACTAATTTTTAAGTCTTTACCTTCAATTTCTCATTTTTTAATATACTTTTTTAAAATTTAACTTATTGCCTGTGCGTGTGTGTGTGTGTGTATGTATTGGTGGTGGTATGATCCTGTGTTGTTTTAGTTATGTGTTCCACAGGTATTGATTCTTGTCTCTTCCCCATACATACTTGACTTTTGTGCTTCATTCCTGTCAGCAAATCCTTTTTGAATGCTGATGATTTTCATATCCTTGCTCTAGCAAGGTTATCTTTTCTGAACTCCATGTCTGAATACCCAATTGATAGATTTATGTGTGTGTCATAAAAATCTGAAGAACTTTCAGCTCTTCCATCCAATTGACAACCAGAACCTGGGTTTTGTTTTGGCTCTACTGCACTTCCCCCTCCCTAGCCAAAAGCTGACCTTTCAATTTCCTATGCATAGTAGCTTTATCTAATTTCCTCAATGCCTATATCAACTTACTCAGTTCACTCTACCTACCTCATACCAGTCACAATTACCTGTGAGCAGCCTGGAGCTAGAATATTCTGCAGAAGCAGAACTCCAATGACATTACTCACTTGTATTCTCCATGGACTTAATTATGAAGTTCCAAATTCTCAACTTGTCTTACCAATTTCTTTAAATTTTGCTCCTGCTTTGGCGGTCACTAGTCTACCACCCCCCACCCCAATCCCTACAGGGACAATGAACATCTGTATACACATTTCTCATACTCGATCATTCTCTCCATCAGCTACTGCCATATTGAATTATTTGCAGCTTTGCAAACTTTCATTTTTTCTCCGCCTGCAAGTCTTCTGTAATTCATTTTACTAATTCAATTCCCTGTTCCTAATTCCAACCACTATACTCCTTACCTGTTAATTTTAAGGTGTCAGCTTAGTCTTTACTCCTCACATAACCTATGTGCTTTTAGAGCATCTGGAACTTCTTTCTCCACAGTATATATATCACACTTTTAAGAGGGATGGGATTTACCTGTTTCCATGTCTCTTTTACCTACTATGCCTTAAGTGTTGGAATTATAGCCGTCATATGTGGCCAGCTGTTCATTGTTATTTTTCCCAGGATTTAGCACTATATAGCATATATTGGCTTGTCAGATTCTATAATCTAATGACTTAGCATTCTTGGGAGTGGTAAGTTGAATTATTTTATAACAGGGCACAGGAGTTGCTGTGTGTCATCATAACTGCCTCCAGACAAATTTGATAAATGGAAAATTTTGTCTATAAGGCCCTTTGCAGTGTGTATGTATACCTATGTATGCACATGCACATACATGCTTGTTCAGTTTCTGTTTTGGTCTTCTGTTGATACCTTTGGCACCAGTTGGGCTAAGCTTGTACAGCCAGACATCTCATGTAACTGAAGAGTATGCTATTTCACATTGGTAATGTAATGTTTTAAATTAATTTACATGCCTTTTTTTTTTAAAAAAGATTTTATTTATTTTTATACAAGAGCTGGGGTACAGGCCAGAGGTGCAGGAGGGTGAGAGGATTCACCAGAGACAGAGCAGGGAGCAGAACAGGCAGAAGGACCCAAGTACACTGCTGAGGGGAGAAGTGGGTGCCACAGGAGAGGTCTGCCACTCTCACCGGCCAGCTGGGCTCGAACCTGTACTGCAGAGACTGCGGACAGCTTCACAGTGCTGCACTCCACCCACTGCGTCACGGGGGAGGCCCCTAATTTAAGTGTCTTTAAAGAGGGAACTTGATCCTGAGAATCTAACTACTGTGGATTAGACCTGATGGTCAGTGATTTCAGTGATTACCAGGTCCTTCCAAATTTCCAGGACAATGCTGAATAGAGTTTTATGGAGTGATGGAAGGACTTCTCACAAGAGAGGCAGCACTAATCATTTAGTAAGACCTATGTATATGGTCCTCCCTGGTTAAAGTCTCAGCACTATGAATCTATCAGCAGCAACTGCAACATGAGTTCGATACCCAGCCAGGAAACTAACCCATATGGCAGAGCAGACCTCTCCTGTCTCGCCTGCTGTTCCCCTCCGCAGTGTATTTCAGTAGATCTGCCTGTTTTGCTCCCTACTCTGTCTCTGGTGAATCCTCTCACCACTCGTACCTCAGGCCTACACCCCAGTTCTTGTACGCATAAATAAAAATAGATCTTTCAGAAAAAAGACCTGTGTATAAACTAAGAAATTTTAAGTCTTCTAACAAAAATTCTGAGTATGGGCTGTGATTGTTTTTAGCATTTCAAACAGTATGATCCTCTACTGATTATAAATGAATTAAAAAATCACTAATGATCCCACCACTCCCCCATATTCTTTTCATTGATAACTTCTTTCAGTTTTATGTTCTTTCAATGTATATGTATGACCACTCAAAATTTTCATAATTTTATATAAACCATTTGGTGATCCTAACATTTTATTTGAAATATGTTTCTATATTTTACATAATTATTTTCATACTTCTCTAGATACAAGCTAATATGAATCAAGTTTTAGATAGAAACTATGAAGCTTTATTTTTTATTCTTGAAGTCCATTTTATTGTCAGTAACACATAAGATGTTTATTTTATTATTTTTTTTTTTAAGATTTATTTATTTATTTAAGCACTGGGTACAGTCAGAAGCGTGGGAGGGTAAGAGAATTCACCAGAGCCAGAGCAGGGAGCAGAGCAGGCAGAAGGACCGAAGTACACTGCTGAGGGGAGCAGCGGGTGGCAGGAGAGGTCTGCGCGCCATGAGGGACCCTCCTCCGGTGGCCGGGGAGCAGGCAGGGATTGAACCGGCGCTGCACAGGCTGTGGGCAGCTTCGCAACCCAGCGCTCAACCGCTGCGCCACCTGGGAGGCCTAGATGTTTATTTTAATAACCAATCTTTTCTTTAAATATTAGCTATAATACATTTAAGGTAATCATTATGGAATTAGTGATATTTTTATACAAAGAAATTAGAAGAAAATAAAATCAAATAGCACATTAACAGGTCATTTCTGAGACAAATTTGATTTGCGATAAAAGTAAGGACCTTA